GTCAACTTCGCTTATAACGACACTCGGCGGGGCATCCAAAAAAGTGTCCTTATTCGCGAAGTGTCGTTATACCCGAAGTCTCATTATTATTATTATTATTATAGACAACACCTCATGGCATGAGAAGAAAATCAGCCAGTACGGGAGATGTGGGTGTTAACCAACCATGGTGAATAAAAGAAGAAAAGTAATGGTCAAGACGGAGAAGCATGGGAAGGACAGGTGATGGTGAATCTAGTGAGCAGATTTAAATGCGTCCAGGGTACTGGCATTGCGCGTAGTAGCGGGCAGCGCAAGCCAAGCAGAGTAAGCAACAAAGAGTGGAGAGCGTACAAGGGAGGACGTTTTAGCCAAGGGGAGGGCAACAGAGCATCTTGTCTGGGAGCCATCTGTGATTCGGAACCAGTTATACACGTTTAAAAGATGAGGAGGATGTAGAGCTAGTTTAAATTTGTGAGCGAAAGTGCAAATTAATTTTTGACGGTGGGTCGACAGTGGGCAAGCATTTGCAAGGACATACAGGGAAGCAGAAGGGTAGAGAGGGGGTAGACTAAACAGGATACGAAGAAGTTTTCTATGGTGGATTTCGAGATGCTCAGCGAGAACCGAGGACAAGCCACACCAGCTAACAGCAGCGTACATGAAAAGAGGCAGGATGTACAGTTTGTAAAACAAAATTTTACATTTGAAAGGAAGATGGAACAATGGGGACGTATAACACCTAGGGCAGAGCTTGAACGGCTGCAAAGAGCATCAATATGGAAAGACCAAGAGAGGCGATCATCAAGCATTATTCCCAGGTGTTTATGGTTGGAAACAACCCTTATGGGTTCTGGGAAATCAGGATGGTGTAAAAGTGACATGGATGAGATTGGGGGAAGGAACATTATTTCGGTTTTAGTCAGGTTGGGTCTAAGTCGCCATGTTTGCATCCAGCGTAGGACACTGCATATCTGAGCCGACACTCGAGGTACAAGAGCCGCTGAGGACGAGGATGCTGACAGTAGGGTTGTATCATCAGCAAATAACGAGACACCTGGGTCTATAGAGGGTAAATCATTTACGTATGCTACGAACAAAAGAGGTCCAAGTATGGAGCCTTGGGGAACTCCAGAAGACACTGGTAGAGGATCAGAGTTGATGGAGAGGGCAGAAACAAACTGTGATCGGCTACTCAGATAGGACTCCAGCCAGGACAGAGCAGGGCCAGACACACCAAAGACAATATGTAGCTTGGCAAGGAGGCCACGATGCCAGACAGTATCAAAGGCCTTTGCCAAGTCAAAGAAACAGAGAGCAATATGATGTCGAGCATCACGAAGGGTGGCAATGTCTTGTACTAGACGAGCTAGTTGGTCAGAGGTTGACGGTCGTTGCGCCGAAAGCCAGATTGGGAAGGGCTAAGGCATGGTGAAATGTGGCAATACAACTGGTCGTAAAATACCTTTTCACATACTTTTGAAAGGGAGCAGAGAAGAGATATTGGACGATAGTTTGAGGCTTGTGATCGGGAGCCTTTACACTTGTAGATGGGCGTGACCTTAGCGATCTTCCAACGATCAGGAAATACGCCGGAGGAGTAGGAAAGGTTGAATATAAGGCACAGTGGGTACGCCAGAGATGGAGCCAGAACTTTGAGAACTTCATTTGGTAGGGCCATCAGGACCAGGGCTTTTGTTGCTTTTTAGTCTTTTTAGGTAGCTGCGAACAGATGATTGTGGTGGTATGTATAGAGCGCAGATCAGAAGACACAGTCGCAGAACGTTGCAGAGGTGGTATTGGAGAGGAATGGTCGTCTGGAATACCAGCTGATGTGAATTGCGTATTGAGAGTATTAGCTATAGACTTGGGGTCAGTCACCATCGAACCATTGGAAGCTAATAACGGTGGTATGTCTTGACGTGTACTAGTTGTCCTTTGAGTGCGAACAAAGGTATACAGGTTAGGCCTGGAAGAGGGGTGAGATAGGGTGGTAGTGAGCGAACGTAAATATGCTCGATACTTAGAACGTGACAATGACTTCACCAGATTGCGCTGTTTTTTGTATAAAGAAATATTAGCATAGGTGGAGTACTTCTTACTTAAGCTATAGTAGTCGTATTTGAGTTTAATTGCACCTTGGAGATCTTTGTCGAGCCAAGGGATCTTGGGGTTACGGCTGGACTGACGAGGGTGGTGGCTGCCATGTTTGGGTGTAGCGGGTCTTGCTCCGTATTGTGGCACATAGAAGGAGAGCACGTCATCAAGAACTGTGGTGAACTTCTCCACAGCTTCATCAACAGTAGTGGAGGTGAATAAAAGATGCCAGTCACAGGCAAAAAGTGCAGAGTTGATGATTGACCAAGTGGAGGGTGTAACCTTGCGGAAGGCATGTCGCGGAGGGGTAGGAGTCTGAGAGCAGTTGTAAGAGGTGTTAGCAGTGGCAATGTTGTAGGCTAGCGTTGTAATGACTTGCAAATGATCCGATGCAGCAAGCGGGGCAGCATCGTCAACAGAGCGTACAGAGAGGGGGCGGTTCGTAGCAAATTATGTATTACAGTTGGAATTAATGGAAGGGACTTTGCTCTGGGCACGGAAATGCTGTCGTTATTCGCGAATTGTCGTTATATCCGCAGTCGTTATAAACGAAGTTGACTGTACAGTACTGCTCATACAATGATACATGTATCCAGTCCCATCATCATGATCACCACGGTCACTCAAGTAGATCTACTCGCCGGGCGTTGTGCAGCCCCAGACCTGCGAATACTGACACTGGGCTGCGAAGTGTGCAAGGCGCAAACGAACTGGATTTCAATTCATTGAGCAGCACTGACCAGGACATAAAAAACTGTGTAAAATAAATAATATTCGCGGCTATACTGAGTACAGTATGTGGTGTAGGCCCTGTAGGGCCTGTACAGTCTGTAGTGTAGGCGTCTGCCGGTACCGGATACCATCGTCTACGAGGGAGTTGTGTTATAATGAATCCGCCAAGGGCCTAGCCCTTGGCGGATTCATTATAAGGGCCTAGCCCTTGGCGGATTATGCCGGCATAATCTTGGGATTTCGTCAACAAATTATGCTCCGGCATTATACGGATTCCAACGTGTAAGGTCGGCATAATCTTTCGGTTTAGACAAAAATTATGCTTAGGGGCATAATACAGCTTTGTCAGAAAGCCTGCAGATGTTTTTTTTTTTAATACCCCAGTTACGACTCCTTGTCATAGCCCTTGGCGGATTATGCGGGCATAATATTTTGGCATTATCTTGGGATTTCGTCAAAAAATTATGCTCCGGCATAATATACGGATTCCAACGTGTAAGGTCGGCATAATCTTTCGGTTTAGACAAAAATAATGCTTAGGGCATGGCCGTGTGTGTATGCGTGGTTTCTCAATCCTCTATGTACACCGTGAATACATAGTGGAACCGAGCACAATTCAGCATAATTCAGCATATTTGTTGGCATAATTGTGGCATAATCAAAAGCATAAGTTGACGATTGGCCGAGCATAGTCCGCCAATGGCTAATAACTTCTCTTTTCCATTCCCTCAACTACGACTACTTTTTATTAGGCTTCGTGTTTTCTACTATACTAGCTGTCTTGCACCAAACTACTGTCGTGGACATGGAAATCCAGTCGATTGACCGGGTCCGGCGCCCTCAGCGCGTACAGACCATAAGGCGTTGCATGCAGTGCACATGTTGATCCGATGCGACCAGCAGCAGCGCATAATAAAACGTGCTACGGCTGCATGGCCAGCGCCCTGGGGCCGCTAGACGTGCGACCGGATTTGCGACCGGATTTCCATGTCTTCGACAGTAGATGTTTCCATCCAGGTCTACGAGGTATCTCTCTCCTAAATGTACCCGTATGCACCCCTGTATCAAAACCCGCATTGTCCAACCCCCCCCCCCCCACCACCCCTTTCCCAAGCGGCCAGAGAAATCCGGCCCCATGGATTTGCGCCGAAGGCTACTAGTATGCAGCCCTATAGCATGACAAACACCACTCTGCTCACTTGAGCGTGGCGTTACTTTGTTCATGTGATCGGATTTCTCTGGCCAGAACCGTAGTGTTGTCTGCTGGATTTCCCCTCCATTAACATTCTCCTTCGCTTCCTTGTCATTGAGCACCTCTGCTCGTTTGGTCACTCGAATTTCAAATCCAACATCAAACAACAAACAACAACACACGCGGTTCCACCTGCACACGTGTACACACTAGCGGGTGGGTTATTCGAGCACCCCTACCCTAGACCAGCACCTGTAAGGCTGTATGAACGAATGAAAATCTACAACAGTTACTGCATGTACAACAGCTCACGTTTCAGCTATCCAAACACCCTGGGTCCAGAATCTGTTTCGGGATGTTTGAATAATTCGGATAATTGGAGCTTACAATGTCATACATTCTACGAGACAGAGAGAGAGAGAGAGAGTGAGAGAGAGAGAGAGTGAGAGAGAGAGAGAGAGAGAGAGAGAGAGAGAGAGAGAGAGAGAGAGAGAGAGAGAGAGAGAGAGAGAGAGAGAGAGAGAGAGAGAGAGAGAGAGAGAGAGAGAGAGAGAGAGAGAGAGAGAGAGAGAGAGAGAGAGAGAGAGAGAGAGAGAGAGAGAGAAAGAGAGAGAAAGAGAAAGAGAGAGAAAGAGAAAAAAAAGAGAGAGAGAGAGAGAGAGAGAGGAGAGAGAGAGAGAGAGAGAGAGAGAGAGAGAGAGAGGGAGAGAGAGTGTGTGTGTGTTTGTGCAGGCGCGTGCTCGCCGATGGGCACGGGGGGCACGTGCACCCCCAAAAATTTTCAATCTGATCCAAGGCAATTGTAATGTATGCAAATATGCTCTAAAATTCAAGAAAGGTTGCAAACAAATTGCAGAAAATTGCCGGGGGGGGGAGGGCTCCCCTCGGCTCCCGTGCACCCCCCTAGTTGGGGGGGGGCCGAGCACGCCCCAGTTGTGTGTGTGTGTGTGTGTGTGTGTGTGTGTGTGTGTGTGTGTGTGTGTGTGTGTGTGTGTGTGTGTGTGAGTGAGTGAGTGAGAGAGAGAGAGAGAGAGAGAGAGAGAGAGAGAGAGAGAGAGAGAGAGAGAGAGAGAGAGAGAGAGAGAGAGAGAGAGAGTAAGAGAGAAAGAGAGAGAGAGAGAGAGAGAGAGAGAGAGAGAGAGAGAGAGAGAGAGAGAGAGAGAGAGAGAGAGACATTGGATACCCAGAGAGCTTACAATACTTTGACGATCATAAAACGGACCATACAAAGAAGAAAAAGATAAGGAATCACATCGTTATGGTTCAATCCGCCGTTTAGCAAGAATGACGCCACCGATATCACGAGCCCACTGTCCTCGACAAGCGATGTGTTCGCTGCGTAGCCAATCTGCCACTCCCGTCCCATACCACTCCTTTAATTATACACTCGCCTTTCCCTGACCCCTGTAGTTGAACGTGCCAAATGCAAACTCCGTTTCTCACTCATTCTCTCTCTCTCTCTCTTTATGCACCGTGTCCACACCAGCAGCATCAGCCCTCTTCTGAAAGATAGAGTATTAGTACTACTAGCCCTCCAACCTCCCAGTAACACCCGTGGCAATGACAATAATTGCAAATACGCTGTGCCGCAAAATCGCCGAACATCTGGCGACACTCACAGCCGACCATTGGTTTCCGCCGTGAAGCTTTGGAACACCCTTCCACAGGAACTCTCGTCGTCCAACCCCGTTTATAAGATTGCTGAAAGTGTTTTTCTACCATAGATCCCAATCCTCCTATTTCTCTCTGATTGTTATTTCTGTTCGAACTTGACTTGTAATTACCGGTACATATACTTCCCATTGACTGTTTTCTCATTTTCTCAAGTGCAGCTTTATCGAGCCACACTTCTTATTCTATCGCCACCATAATATTTGGCATTAATGCCCGTTTGGTTTGCGATGCAAAATAAAACTTCAAGCATAAACAAAAAAACAAAATATCGGACATCGCTTCACCAGTAGTCTAGCCACACACTTCCCCAAACTAAAGCCTCCCAACTGCTGTCGTTTACACCTTTACTTGTCTTTGTGGGTATTTAAAGTCATTAATGACTGATATTATGTGCATACCGTAAAACTGTCGTAACTCCATCGATTCTAGTCCTGTTGCAAATATCGAAATATGTAGATCAAAGAGGAAGCTCCAAGCTTTTCGATGGTGTAATCGCTTTTGTTAATTACTGGTTTCTGAAGATCGGTCAGTGCGTGAAACTTATGACTCAGAGTTTGATGTCCATGTAGTTGCTCCCTTGTCCTACACAACCCAATGATGTTACTCGTAAGAGTATCAACCTAGCTTTAATTAAACTTCAACTTCTCCTGATGATGGCTATGGCCGAAAATTTGATTGAGATATAAACCGAAAATTTGCAACCGCAAAGAGGCCACTTGCTTTGACGATGGTATAGGGTTTTCCGTGTCACAACCGTAGGCTTTGCTACCAGTAAAATCTAGTGCTTCAAAAACATTTTTGTTCCTACATCAACTGAACAGCTTCTCCCGATCTCCTCCCTATTTTTTTATGGGCAGCTTGCTAAAGTGATCTATGTAGATGTGCATATTCATTTTTAGATCTACAGTCCATTCATTGGAAACTGGCACCCTAACGTTTTGGTGTCTCTCTCACATAGTTGTAGATATCGTGAAAACAAACGTACATCCTGCATTGTGTGACCCGTGCAATTACTCCTTGCCACATTTGAGGCCAGAAAAGTCCAAGAACAAGGAAATAGAAATTCAGCCAGGTTTTACAAAATTAGGACAGGTATGCCATGGCAAAATGTATGGAGAAGCAGATCCGAAACCCAGATTTTTGAGATTTTAAGTGGGTTTTTGATCCTCAATTCGGCCCAAATCCGACTTTCAAAAGCCAGCGGGCCAGTTTCCGATGAATGGACTGTACTTCAGTACTTGACCCTGTAATTAATGGAGTTTGGGCATTGTTGGGGGGGGGTAGCGGAGAGGTCTCCTGCAGTCCTGGTCAAGAAGTATTTTTTTTGCAAACATTTCATTTGAAAGTTTAGCAACTTTGCCCAGCACTCCTAAACTCATAGGACTCGACTTGAGGCACACATTTTATACAGCAAGTCCTTCTGAAGAAGAGGTTGTTCCGACATCGGCGGTACAAGTCCCTCTGAGCCCAAGAAAAATACTATCGTATATCAGGGGGAAATATAAAAATGTAATTGACTTTGTGTGCACGTGACATAGTTGCATGAAAAATGACGATTGCGACGCACGACAGTGTAACTGATCAATTGACACCATCAACATGGGCAGGCGGTAACTCCGCTCAGTTGAAAATAACACCGAATTAGAGTGCTTCTTCCAAGCAAATACAGTCCTGCTCAATGAAATCCAGTCGCACCCCTCAAGAACGCGCCGGGCATTGCGCAGCCCTTGACCAACAAACACTGGGCTGCGAAATGATGCAAGGCGCAAACTTGAGTGACGTGATTGGATTTCATTTAGCAGCACTCTAGTTGTGACAGTACTCGTAGAGCCAATAGCCGCTGACACAAGAGCCACTAACACCAGGCCAGCTCAAATGCATCATCGCATACGAATAGCATATGCATTGCATATGCCTCGCATACGCACCAGGCCAGCTCAAATGCATCATCGCATACGCCTCGCATACGCACCAGGCCAGCTCAAATGCATCATCGCATACGCACCAGGCCAGCTCAAATGCATCATCGCATACGAATAGCATATGCCTCGCATACGCACCAGGCCAGCTCAAATGCATCATCGCACACGCCTCGCATACGCACCAGGCCAGCTCAAATGCATCATCGCATACGCCTCGCATACGCACCAGGCTAGCTCAAATGCATCACCGCATACACATCGCATATGCATCGAATGCTCAGCCGATTTCCCACACCAGGAGTACGCAGGCCATGCCCCTCTCTACACAACACCCATGCAACTTTCAGTCCACTCAAGCACACACAAACAACTAGGTTTGCTCTTGAACTATTGGCACAGGTTTGGAGTTGCTACAGAAAGAGAGAGATTACAGAGGATTTCAAAGATAATTTTGATAACACTCTATGGTGGGAAAGTGAAGGGTTGTAAAGTGACTAGCTGAAAATGCATAACACACCGCATGGAGCAACGCTAACCATTGCAGAAATATACATGAACGTAACTAAGAATAGAGTGTCATGCACAGCAAACAGAGTCACAATGAACAAGTACATGCCTGTACTTGTAGTAGTGAAATGATTAAACAAATCCTTGAGGCAGGATGTGCCTTCCATACAAAGACTGTTACCGACTTGGCTAAAAGTAGAAACTTGAAGAAGAAAAAAAGAACAAAGATAAAGCATAGTTGCAAGCAAGCGTAATGCCGGCACTCGCGGCAACAAATTCTCGATTCGGAAAGCTCAGGCAAGCTTTCACCCTCTCCTGCGCCAGGTGGAAACACTGTGCTTCTGATGATGCATCTGTTAGGCATAGCAACACACAATGAAGAAACAACTCAATGGATTAGACCTGGCAGCCCATGGAATTCAGTTGGGGTTTTTTAATACCATTGTTTTCAAGAGTGCGCGTGCAAACTGTAAGTCTACAAATGTTCTGCCCATTCGAATTTCGGCCTCCGAGGGCTAAAACACATATCGGCCGCATTAAACTTTTGGCATGTACTGCTGCTGCCTGTATACCCTGTCACACTGAACCTTGCAAACCAAGTTTCGACTACAAAAAATTGGGCTAAATATGACCAGGACGAAAATAAATCAAACTCGCCGAATATTTGTTAATTAACAGTACTATGCTACAAGTGCTCTTCCAAGGCTTTGGTGCAGTTTGAACACTTCAACCACAGTTTGAAAGAACATTGATGATGCACTTGGATCCATCCAGAACTCTCATGATAGTCAACACATCCATGCTTTCGAAATCCACTTTGGCGTTCTGTTGCCATGTTGAAGAAATTTGCATGCAAGGCCTCGTGCATTTCCATGATATGTCTATTTTTTTTAAACTTCTGGGTGGTACTGGGGCTGTGGCGGTTCAGTCACTTCGTCGTGCATGCTGCCGCACCGTCTTCTGTCCACTGGGTACACACTTTCTGTACTTGTCTCTGTTGGGGCAGTGTCGTATTTCGCCATCTGCAATCTTGGCCTCCTCTCCAGGCCGGGACCTAGCGTAGCACAATTCGCACCACTTTTGCTTCCAAACTCCGCACTTTTCTCTCGCGCCTCACTGATATATACCCAGGTATCGTCCTGTCTCGGTGTAATTCCTCTAGTTGTCAATTGAAAGTAACTACTTCTGAAGTAGAAATGTACTCTCTCGTCCCGAACTGTTGGCTTGTAATTGGTGTGGTTGGCAAGAGAAAAACAGCTCCTCAAAACTCTTGAGGACAGGTGAGCTCACCTACTTATCCACGGGTGGGCTACAACCCAAAACACTGTGTCATGCATGAACATCATCGATGATAGCGGATGGCCTCTAATCGTGCCAGTATAGCTTCTCCACGAGTCAGTAAGGGATGAGAACATCACAGCTAAAGAAGGGCACAAATTACCTTGACGGCCTGCTCTTTTACGATACGTTTGTGGAAAGTCCAGAATTGATCCAATCAGGACATCCACAGGGTCCTGCAGTGTTCCACAAGCGTGCATGTACGCATGCACACGCACACACACACCCACACACACACACACACTCACACACACACACACACACACACACACACACACACACACACACACACACTCACACACCCGCACCCACCCACACACCCACACACACACACACACACACACACACACATACACACACACACACACACACACACATACCGTAAAGTACCGCGAGAGCACCCCACCTTGATTTTACAGCCAATGGAATGAACAAAAGGTACAGAGTGCTACTAAGTTTGTAGGGTTTGAGAACCAAGAGGTGTCCTAAGGTCAAACTTCGTATGTTATTGCGTGGAACTCGCATCCGCTCAAACTTAAAGGGGAAGTTAAGGCAAAAATTAAAATTTCATCAGTTGTAGTCTTCGGGGTGCTGAGTCGAATGGTCGTGGTCCGAGGAAGCTGAGACGCTCCCTTCCTACTTGAATCCCAATCGAACTCGCGCACTTTCACCGAAACTGGGTGACTGCGCCCTACTAGATGGGGATTTGTATGCAAAATGTCACTAAAAGCGCCATTTCGTTCTTATAAAAGCACGGATGACCACGATTGGCCCATATGTTGTAGTCTTTTGGACGCTGCGTCGACTGGTTTTGGTCCGAAAAGGCTGCGAAGCAGCGTTCCTCCTTTATTCCCAATCGAACATGGTTGAACAAGCGGTCACGTGCTCCTGCGTACGCCAGTCACCTGGTCACCGTGCCTGCAGGGTACAACTTACTAGCCTGTTTGACCTTTTTTGGGTGCAGTCCTGTCACTCGAGTTGAACCTTGGTGTGAAAGTTGTCGCCTGCTGGCGTGGTGACCAGGTGATTTGGGCACCCAGGAGCACGTGACCGCTTGTTCAAGCATGTTCGATTGGGAATAAAGGAGGAACGCTGCATCGCAGCCTTTTCGGACCAAATCCAGTCGACTCAGCGTCCAAAAGACTACAACATATGGGCCAATCGCGGTCATCCGTGCTTTTATAAGAACGAAATGGCGCTTTTAGTGACATTTTGCATACAAATCCCATCTAGTAGGGCGCAGTCACCCAGTTTCGGTGGAAGTGCACGAGTTCGATTGGGATTCAAGTAGGAAGGGAGCGTCTCAGCTTTCTCGGACGAAGACCATTTGACTCAGCACCCCGAAGACTACAACTGGTGAAATTTTAATTTTTGCCTTAACTTCCCCTTTAAACTGAGTACCGATTGACTGCACAACGTGCAATGTTTGGAACAATGTCCGCGTCGTATGACCTACAGACAGAACACCACATGCACAAGAGGACCAAGAAAGGATGAGATGGTGGCCCGCTCTCGCGCTACTTTACGGCATATGTGAATGCGAACACTCATCTACAAACACACATACATGCACGTGTTCTGAATGAAATCTACCCAATGAAAAGTTTGCGCTGTGCACTAGTGCACAATACACAACAAACAGTGGGTAATGCAGTGCTGTCATTATCAGAACAGCACATTGGCCAGCACTAACTTAGTGTCCAAGTAAGTAGTTAGATCACAATGAGCAACGACACTGAGAAAAGACGGAACTTCCTACATCACAGCACTATGCTGCATAGTCACATGCATACATATGTACAATACAGTGACATGAAGAACCTACCAATTCCAGACAGGCACTTTGTCCATTTACACTCCGTATGTCATCTACTCCAATCTTCCAAAATCAGCTGCTGCTTGGTGCACAGCAGACACTCAAGTCAGTCAGGATAACGGCAGTACACTCCTAGTTGCTTGCCCCGGGGCAGGTGCAAGTAGGTTGAGCCAGTCTGGAAGCCTGTAAATCACGCAGTCACCTATACCAGCACACGTGGCATACACTTGAATCCACACATCCACACACACACACACACACACATACACACACACACACACACACACACACACACACACACATACACACAGGCACACACAAACACATAGAGACGTCAGGCAGTACCATGATTGCTTGCATTGAACTCGCATAGTACATTGTAGATATACATAGTAGACATGACCTGTAGTCTGTTTGTGCCGTCGAGCACTGCGGTAACCAGGTAACAATGTCAGTGCGGCATGCAGTGTCCCCGGCCGGATCCTTGAAGTAATGAGTTTGAGGATTTTGAATTTGTTGAGAACTTTCTTGTTCTTTCCTTTGGTGGGTCTAGCTCACCCGAGCGAAGCTGCGCACTCAGCAGGCCAACCAGACAGAACATCTCCATGGAGCGAGCAGGCGGTCTCCTGGAGACAAGTTTCATCTGAACGCAGGTCAGAGATCCTGCGGATGTACCTCAATAGTAGCGATCTTAGCGCGTCACTGAATTTTGAACAAGGCTTGAGAAATTTCCCTGGTGATCATCATCTGAACCTGACTTGTCTGAGGCTCTGCAGGGCAGTTGCTGCCAGTGCCTGTAGGGCCCGCAGCCTCCATAGCAAGGGGGAACGGCCGTTGAAGTCCTAGGGAAAGCGAAACTCAGGAGGAACAAGAATCCTACTCATTGCGAATCTTCGGACACATATGGCTTCATTGCCAATATTATTGACGAACTGTTTGATCTCTGTGTATGTATGCTTTGCCAATACACAGGCTAAGGATGTCGAGTTGCGCTTGCCGCCACAAGCACGGTTTCGGCTCTGCTCCTGATAGCTTTGGCGTTTGCTATCGTCAAGTACTCCCGGATGAAGTAAGCACTAAATCAGCGAGCCCTCCACGTAGTTATTCATACAAAGTAGGAAATAATTTCCAGTCCTGTGAGCGCGAATGAGGCTCATACTCTGTATCACCATTCACATTGAATGGTGATATTGTCACATTGAATGATGCTGCCCAGTGTCACGTTTGGACAGATTGTGACAGCGGTGACGCTTTCCGACGTCATTATTTGTACTGCTGAAAGGAGAAGTGACTTTATCTGGCGACGCGGAAGAGATATGACTAGAAATAGACTCCGGGCGCAACATCGAAGTTAATAGTACGGAGAGTAACCGTACCCAAAGAACCATGACGTTCCATATTTTAGTCGAATCTGGCGTCTTAGCCTGTGTACAGCGCTAGCAGCAAGATTGTTATACTCACAATCCAGGACCCAAGTGAGCGAACAATTTTCGGTATGTGAAGTGAATCAGTGACATGCTAAGTGAAACCTGCTTGATGCATACGTGATAAGGGTGAAAGGTGTTGTCTGCAGCCAAAGGCATGTTTGCAGAACCTGCACGTTTTAGAGAGGAACATTGATTTCACGACCTCGAATCGCATGGCACGTACATGTACATGTACAACCATTTGCTTTCACTACAGAAGCCACTCCACTATAGGAATACAAGTGGTTTGCTTTGTTCCAAATCAAGCCAGGACTGATTTCAACAGAGGGTATTGCGCACTTCACGGATAAATGTTGGGTTAGCTTTTGGGCTAACTCTAGTTAGCGATAAGACCGATGCGCTGCTCTCTATCTCATGTTAGCTGCGACTGAGCTGGCTTTACACGTGCACTCAACTGCTGTGCATGCGCGCCCAAATGCACGCCCAAATCGCCTTGGGTAGCTCTTGCTGCGCTGACTTCGGCTTGCGCTTTCCTTTGCAAGTGTCACTGAGCAGCAGCCGGAATTTGTTTGCCACCCAACCACTCATTTCCACATTTTATAGGTTGGAACATCTTCCTTTAACTGGTTGCTTTGCTGCTACTATCTCTGCTTAAAATTCCATACTATTGGTCGGCTGTATGCGACACCAATCAGTAGTCATTGCACCCGATCGCGGGTACTATAGCCGCTCAAGCATGAGCGATTGCTTTGGCCGTTTGCAACGCCAATTGCTTCACCCTGGTTGGCTGTTTGCAACGTCGATCAGGAAAATTTGCACCCGATCGCGGGTACTGCTGCGGCTCAGTCATGAGCGCTCACTTTGGCTGTTTGCAACGCCAATCGCTTCACCAGTTGATCGAAACTAGCAAACTGGTGTACCCCAATTATCCTTGTACGGTGTTGTGAGAATACGTGGGTATGCATGCAGCTTTGCTCTATGACTTTCCATTGCATGTAGTCACTTGGTCTCCCATTTCCTATACACTGCTCTGATGCATTCGGGTGCAAGCGCTAATGGCTATTTCCAGGAATTTCACACCTGGCTGATTACCTTATACAAAGCCCAATAACATGCTTTGACAGTCTTCCCGTTCCTATACCACCCACAGTCCCACATTTGAGGGAAGAAATGTTAGACTTCCATTGTATATGGTTGACTACACATGTGCACAGTCGCAGTAATATGTTCTATTATAGCACAACTGTAGAATTAGGGAGAAGATCCAATCCATTCACTCAACTAATGACAATTTGTATTGGATTAAATTTTTTATTTTCTTATCATTTTTTTATCATTTTTATCATAGCAATGAAGACAATAAGCTAAATTGACATGTGGATACTTTATTCGTGCAGGGTGATCAATCATCGGCGCATTGTTTCCATCACTTGACACTGCATGAATATAGTATCCACATGTTGAAAAGCTTGTTCTCTTGATTGCCATAATTACACCAACCAGGGGAAAGTTTGATACACTTCATCCTTGCGCAGCTTCCCTTTCATATCCTTGATAAAATTCACCTTCCAAACCTGGGTGGTTGTACAAGTCATCTTGCTTTGCGTTGACGAATTGCAGTACGCACTGTGCGTATACGAAAAGTGATTGTCGTACACTCTTGATCAACATGACATCGTGTACTCGGCTTTTAGCAGTAGTTCGCATGCGCTGACCCCAAAACGCGGGAATTTCCAAGTTTCAGCCACCTTTGAAGTTGCGAGAGTTTTTCTGCGGTTTGTTTTCATTTGAGCGTTTCCACCATGGTTTCAGAAATCATTTGACCCGATTGCTGCATCAACTGCTGGATGGAGGGCAGTGCCTGCGAGCCAAGAGAATGCACCCTGCGTGATTCCCCTGGTTATTTTTCACAACAGCTTGATACACAATTCTTCACAACCAGCAAGAGAAAGAGGCCGTGGATGGATTTGTTCCTGCTTTTGCCGTAGCCATCCGCCCATACAGAGGAAACAACCGAAACTATCTTCACTTTCCTACTAGTACTAGTATTGTTCGCGAAAGTGCCCCGACCTGGTTATTCAGGCTCTTAGAATCCTATAAAATGTCTTGGTGTGCAAAAGGGAACGATACCTCCTTACCCATCGGTCCCTGACCTTTCCGAATTATTCTAATAGCAAAGTGGCAGCTCTGCCTTACTATCTTTGTTTTTGATAAAACAAAAATCGCTTTCTGTCCTGGATGTTACCAGGTGTGGGTAATGGGGTCAGCTAGAAAAATAAACATTATTTCTTGACTAAGCATTATTTCTATGAATGAACGATAATGGTGGATGTCCCGTATTTTTCCCCCATTTTTTTGCCATTCTAGCATCTCAATGAATCCGCAAAGGACGAGAACATCACAGCTAAAGCAGAGCATAAATTACCTCACGGCCTGCTCTCAATTCCTTGCTTGAAGTTTCTGGAACGGGTGGAATTGATGCAGTCATGTGATCTACCGGTTCCTGTGTACGTACAGAAACAGACACGCTTACACACATTTATACGCACATGCACACAAATCCCAAAACATACATGTACGGATTCTGAATGAAAACTAGGCCAATGAATACATTTGTGCCGTGCTCTAGTGCATAATAGACAATGCACAACAAACAGTGGATCATGCAGTGCTGTTATTATAAGAACAGTACATTGGCCAGCACTAACAGTGGATAATGCAGTGCTCTCATTATCAGAAATGCACATTGGCCAGCACTAACTTAGTGTCCAAGTTAGATCACAATGAGCAGCGACACTGTGAAAAGACAGAACTTCGCACATCATAACACTATTGTTGTGAACCCTCTGGTTCTCTTACGTATCAGGAACGAACGACCACACGGCACGAGGACAACTATTTATTCTCAACAGTATAATTCACTTCCATCGACTATAACAATAATGAATGAATAACTAACACTAAAACCACCAGGTAGTTATAGCGTGAAAATGACAGCGTATATGAGAAAAGCATACACATCCAACATACAACTACAGCGCACACAGCAAACCGCACATGGCGCCAGTAGCGTATGCCACGTCGTAAACATCAGCGGTACGGCGGAGTCGGGATACAACTGCATTGGAACGAACACAATGTCACAAGCGAGAAGGCCTTTCACTCTCGAGAACTTGTGGTTTCACAACAACTATGCCACATAGTCACATGCATATACAACACAGTGACTTGCAGAAACCTACAAATTCCTGACAGGCACTTTGTCCATACACACTCCGTTTATCATCCGCTCCAATCTTCCAAAATCAGCTGCTGCATGGTCTGCTGCAGATCCAGAAGTCAGTCAGGATAGTGGCAATACACTGCTTATTGCTTGGGCAGATGCAAGCAGGTTGAGGCAGTCTGGGAGCCTGGACATCATGCGGTCGCCTATAGCAGCACATATGACACACACAAGAGTACACACACAAACACACACACACACACACACACAGACACACACACACCCACACACACACACCCCAATACCACGTCACATGTGCATGAAAGCGCACACACATGCACACACGTACACATGCTCATGCACACACACACACACACACACACACACACACACACACACACACACACACACACACACACACACACACATACGCACACACACACACACACACACACACACACACACACACACACACACACACACACACACACACACAATATACACATGAGAGATGATTGTCTGTAAGTCTTCTACATGGTAAGGAATCATCTCGGAAAGTGAGAACCTCTTCTTTGCTTTAGGCTAGATGTCCATAAGCAGAGACTTTTGTGTCCATGGCACTCGCATGCACCCACCACGGAAAAGTCTCTTCTAAACTCAGCTGGGTTTGCTGCAACCCTTCAAATCCGCTCTGGTGTACAGAGGTGATGGTAACAGCATAGAGACGACAAGGATTTAGACCAGCAACACCAGAGGCATGGATCTTACTAGGACATTCGCAAATTGCGAAGACTCCTTGACCTCTTACATCTAACCTGAACATGGCATACTGAAAGAGTACAAACCTGAAGAATGGCAGAGCATACCAGACACTTCCATCTTGCTATCCAGAAAATGCAGGAGGATGGTGAAAACCCGACGTAAAATGACTCGATCTGACAAAGGAATGAACAAACCTTGAGATTGGGTTGTTACCTGTGGTGTTGTTACCGACGGTCATGTTGAATGGAGTTGGAATAGCACAAGGAGCTACCCCAACGGACATCAGACTCATACTCCATGCTGTTCATATCTCTTCAGAAGGTAATGGTGACCACCGGGCTGCTGGCCAGCCTGCTGAAGCCAGTAGTGCGGCACTGGGACCAACACCGACTGTAAATTATACAGCAGCCGCGGTTAGACCGGGAAACGGCTTTGGAAGAAGGTTATGGTAACGGGACTGCTGCCAAGCATAATGTGAGAGTAGCACAAGGAGCTATTCTAGGAGAGACGAGAAGGAGAAGGAACATCAAGAACATGTCCCCGAACGCCACCAAGGAAGAAGGTAATGGTGACCACCAACGGCTGCTGGCCAACCTAATGCACAAAAAGTGCGGCACTGGGGCCAGCACCGACCGGGGATGGCACACTAGCCAACCGGAAACACAGAGCGAAGGAATGAACGCCAGTGGCAACCACCAGGCTGCTGCCAAGGGTAATGTGAGAATATCCCAAGGAGTTACTCTCACGGAGGTTAAAGCTATGGACACATTGAGAATGGCACGAGCTACTCTAGGGAGAACGAGAGTAACACATAATGGAAATCCTGTAACAGGAACTATGCAGACAAATGGTGAAATATTGGATCATCATGGATAACAAAATGTCTGTCACTGTGACATTCCCAGTGACAGCGATTCTGTGTGCAGCTGTGGTGGAAACTTCCAGAAAGCACTTGTGGAAGACGGAAACATTAAGACAAATCAAAATGAAACCAAGCTCAGAATCTGGCGTCTTCGCCTGTGGCGCCAGAAACAATATTATCATCTTGACCGACAATCACCCAAGGGTAGCTCTTGCTGCGCTGACTTTGACTTTGGCTTGCGCTTTCCTTTGCAGTGTCACTGAGCAGCAGCCGGAAACTTCCAGAAAGCACTTGTGGAAGACGGAAACATTAAGACAAATCAAAATGAAACCAAGCTCAGAATCTGGCGTCTTCGCCTGTGGCGCCAGAAACAATATTGTCATCTTCTCCGACAATCACCCAAGGGTAGCTCTTGCTGCGCTGACTTTGACTTTGGCTTGCGCTTTCCTTTGCAGTGTCACTGAGCAGCAGCTGGAATTTGTTTGCCACCCAACCACCCATTCCCACATTTTATAGGTGGGAACAGCTTCCTTCAACTGGTTGCTTTGCTGCTACTATCTCTGCTTAAATTGCATACTATTGGTCGGCTGTTTGCGACGCCAATCAGTAGTCATTGCACCCGGTCGCGGGTACTATTGCCGCTCAACCATGAGCAATTGCTTTGGCCGTTTGCAACGCCAATTGCTTCACCCTGGTTGGCTGTTTGAAACGTCGATCAAGAAAATTTGCACCCGGTTGCGGGTACTGCTGCGGCTCAGTCATGAGCGATCACTTTGGCTGTTTGCAACGCCAATCGCTTCACCAGTTGATCGAAACCAGCACACTGGTGTATCCCAATTATCCTTGTGCGGTGTTGTGAGAATACGTGGGTATGCATGCAGCTTTGCTCTATGACTTTCCATTGCATGTAGTCCCTTGGCTCCCCCATTTCCTTTACACTGCTCTGATGCATTCGGGTGCAAGCGCTAATGGCTATTTCCAGGAATTTCACACCTGGCCAGTTACCTTATACAAAACCCAATAGCATGCTTTGAGAGTCTTCCCGTTCCTATACCACCCACAGTCCCACATTTGAGGGAAGAAATGTTAGACTCCCATTGTACATGGTTGACTACGCATGTGCATAGTCGCAGTGATATGTTCTATCATAGCACAACTGTAGAATTGGGGAGAAGATACAATCCATTCACTCAACTAATGACAATTTGTATTGGATTATATTTTTTTAATATATTTTCATTTTTTATAAATTTTATCATAGCAATGAAGACAATAAGCTAAATTGACATGTGGATACTTTATTCGTGCAGGGTGATCAATCATCGGCGCATTGTTTCTATCACTTGACACTGCATGAATATAGTATCCACATGTTGAAAAGCTTGTTCTCTTGATTGCCATAATTACACCAACCAGGGGAGATGGAATAGTTTGTCACTATGACATTCCCAGTCACAGCGAATTTGTGTCACCTGCGGTGCCAGGAGCCACAAACACCATTATATTTTCAATACACAGCATGGAATGTGCGTGATTCCCTACGACTGTTTGATGTGAAATCGACCAAAAAAGTCACAAGTCCCGCTGCATGCGGCTCGTACTGTCCAATTCGCGAAACGACCTCTGCATCGTTCGTATCCCAATGGGCTCAAGTTATCCAGCACAGCCCATCAACACGACAGCATGTCTCAGTTTTGTCAAGATGTTTGCAGTGAGTTTTGATCCCTGCAGCACCCACACCTGTTTATCTAAAAGTACTTCAAGTACCAATTATCCAGCTTAGGGGTCGTCCGGGGTTACCGATTGGTTTTACAAAAAGAAAAGTTTTTGTATTTCTCAGCCCCCACCCACTCACCTTTTCTGCAGGTAAAACGAATTCCAAAAAAGTATTGATGTCAATTATCACCACCCAGAAGTAACTTGGCATTCTCCATTTGCATTCAATAATTATTTTCAAAACGAATCTCCATCAAACCCACCCACCCTTAAATGAAAACCTTTCGTTTTGACAATATTATTGGTAACCTTGGACGGCCTCTTATTGCCTGAGCTCTTCTCTCAGCTCTGTTTCATACTTTTCTTTTGATTTTGCCAAGGCTAGGTATCGCCCTCACCTCTGGGGTTGCTCTCATGTTAGAGCTGCTTGCATATGGCATGAGCCCGAGTTGAATCAATAAATCAACTGCAAGCTCTGTTGTGTGTACGGGAAATCTATGAATGGGAGCATGCGGGCGGTGTAAGAAGTATCTCCATGGCAACTTAGAAATTTTGCCTAAGGATCGCTGCGCGTGAAAGTCCATGTGGCGTCTAAAAACTCACTTTAACTTCCATTTAACAGGAGAGAAGGAGGAATGGCCCATGAAAAATGGATGAAACCTAATGACTGAACTTGGCAGAAATTTTAAAAAAAGGATGGGTTTCGTGCACTGCTACCACTGATGCCAAGATTTTGAAACTCAGATGTCTAGCTCAGGATGTGATACGGGACTGTCAAGCGGACAGTAAAAACCCATTCTGCAAAGCTCTACATTTCTGGATTTCTGAAAAGCATTTTTAAACGCGCAAGGCGAGGACAGCGATCTCGTACAACCATTTGCGGGATGTGTCTACTTCGTCCCTGGACAACTAGCTATATTAGCACCTTGTTAGGTCTGATCAGCTGAGCTTAGAGTGACGAAACCAACTATGGTGGCAGTCTAGTCCTCTTTATTTCTCATTCCCTTCCCATGAGAACTCAGAGGGTGAGCCAAGGAAAAAATTGTAACATGGACAAAAGTGGGGGCACTAGTTATGCGTTCAACTCCACCAACTAAACCAGATTCAGCAGTACTTTTCAGTTTTGTGCTAGATTGTGCACGTCTGACTGTTCAAAGTCCGGTTTAGTTAGTGGACTTGATCGCATAAATTGTGCCCACACGTTTTCCATGTTAATTTAAAAGTACAATCCCTTCCCATGCATTTTCTTTTTTTCAGTTTTTGTTTGTCCATTTTGTTGTACAGTGGAACTCACTTAGTACATACCCATGGAAGCCATGCACTTGATTAGAACATACCCAGGCTGGACGTACACCTGCTTCGTACGCTCCTTTTCGTTGCACGGATTTCCTGTAATGAGCGCATACCCAAATGTGCACGGCTACGAAGACGTACAGCTCGTATATGACGGACTTCTCAGCATATCTCAACAAAGCTAGCCTGGCGCACTACGCACTATTTCGGTTCTTGCAGCTGCACACTTGACAGGTTCGCTTGACAAGCACTTCAGTATGTTGACAGTTGGGGGTAGGCTGTTTTCAGCAAGGGAATCCTGGTGTGGTGGCACTAACCATGTACATTTCTGAGAGCCGAAAATAATTTCGAGTATTATGACATACCGCGGCAAATGTATCGTATTAGTGGGGCCGCAGGAGTCAACTTTGGATAAGAAGTACCTCGGACACACTGCGTCAAAACCGACACAAGCCTCAACACTACCTTATCTACTTTCGGTGCTTTTTCTGTACTGTATGACTTGGTTCCAGTGTTCCACCTCACAGTGATTCTAGAGACTCGTCCATAACCATGTTAAAGGGCTCTGGCCCTCACAATGAATAAACACTAAGTCTTACCGGTGCCCAACGGTCATCTTGTCCACGTCATGTTCTCAACATCCACTCCGATGCGGCAATGCTTCTGTCGGTATGAGCCACAGCTGCTCTGCGAGTGCTTCATGGCACACATATCGCCAGCATGTACAGTGGGATATACCGTTACGGTAGGGTATGTGTACATGCAGCTCACAGTTCCTAAACACAACAAACACGGATGGAAAAGACAACGGTGGTTATGCTGAGTAGAAACTGGCAAGACTAACGATCCTAATGACTGTGATTTCAGTTTCTTGCTACAAATCTGAATCCAGGACACATGTATGTACAGTTGTGTGTTCCACTGTCTATGAGCATGAATACCTGAGGAATACATCATGTCATGTAGTAGTTTCATACGTGTAGATCTTGTACAGTCATGCTGTTCGCAGTGAACCAGGCGTGATGCGTGCACTTTTTTTTACAAGCAATAGGGCATTACTCTTCGGAGAATACCACCAAGCGTGATGCACCTAGTAATGAATTCCAATCTATAAGAGCCTCGTCGAATTTTACATGTTGAATTCTGCTCAATTGAGTTATATTCTTACCAGGCAGAGGTGACTTGGCCATTGAGTGGAAATCTTTTGCAGGCGTACATCTACGAGTCTTGATGAGTCTCATGCTGATGAACCAGCCAAACAGGCACCCATATCCAGAGTGATTGCCCACTGCTGGAATAGCAAGAGGGCAGATGTTGCTACACTTCTAGTTCTGAACAATGCGCCGAATAAGCCCAAGCAAGAGGGTAAACGGTGGTTTTCTACATCGCGAATACCGGTATGCTGCGTCACAACGCTCAGTCGATCGCACCTGGCCTCGAAACGCGAAGCCTCTTCCTGGCCTGGCTCTTGTAGTCTTGGCTAGGGCACTCCCAGGATCGCGGGCGCGCGGAGCACGGGGCGCAGCCTTTTCGCTGTGTCGGTTATCATGGTTATCAGGGTTATCTGGTTTGTACCGGTATATCACAATCATGATGTAGATCTACACGGCTATGATTATGACATAATCATTGAGCGCTGGTAACCGCTGAGATGCAGACGATGTCGTCGCGAAGCTATTATGCCCGTCTTCGAGAATTATTATTATTACCGGCATGCACAATGTTCTTCAGAGTTCAGTTCAGTGGTAGAGACTAGAGTCTGCTACAGTAGTTCAACGCAAACTGGTGTCGCCAGAGTGTCGCTAGTATGAGTAATTGAGTATGACCTACATGTAGTATTAGTAAACTGATCCAACTTGAGTTTAGTTCGACTGCTCCAGATGAACAGCTGTGCGAACGTGACGGTGAAGCAGCAGGGACCATTCTATTGTGCGCCCGTCATGATGACAGTTATTGTTTAGTCTTGGTGGCTACCACTAGTACCAGGTGGCATAGACAATCGCCACACGTCCAAACGTCCAAAAAAAGACAAAACACGATCGTGCATGCCATGCCCTTCATGTCTGCTGGAGGTAGTGTGTTACGATTTTGACAGCTGTAATTGACAGCAGCTTGTTCTTATCTTTGGCTTGTGATTATCAGATACTATCATAATTGGACAAGCCTGACCGGGCTTGCCTTCTTTGGTAAATGTACCCTGAGCCCAGTTCATACTCTGCAAGAAGGGAGCATTGTAAGAGAGTGGACCTTGGGCATAGCAACGTGTTCCATATGCGCTGAGTCTGGGTTCGGGAACACGCCACAGTGTGATAAACAACACAATACGACGACTGCAAGGGATGCGCACCACGAATAAATGGAGACGTGGGCAGTATGGCTCGAGTCCAAGTGTTTTCCTTCCGATTTTTCCCTTCTTGTCCCTCGGACTTTTTTATTCATTTTTATTTTTAACTATTAACACAGCCCTACTGGAAACCAGGTGGAGAACAAAAAGAAACGAGGAAAAGGATAAAACAGACCGATGGATATGTTGGCAGAATGGTTAGCGCATATTGGTCTCTCAGGGCGGGGTTTCCATGCCAGTACTCTTGATGTCCGAAGATACCATCCACTCAGAAAAAGGAAAACTTCGGGCTCTTTGCGAACATCTCGTGAAGAGCGTGAGGTGTGTCCTATTCCTGCCTATTATCGCATTCGTGTACCAGAGGAAACTGTATACCATCCACTCCCAGGATATTGCAGTTTCCTTCTGTTGGAATAACACAGGCTATGGAGTGAGAGTAGATGGCCACAGCCCTCAGACAGTGTCGACGTCTTTGGCACACGAACTCTCTAACACATAATACGCTTCCTGTCCGAATTAACTATAGGCTAACTTTACCTTTGTGTTCGCGTTCCACTCCGAATGATTGGAAACGCCATACACGTACCGGAATTCGCATTTCACGATCCACGCGAACTCATCGGCTAAGAGAACAAACAACTGATTTTTGTTACTTGAAATACAAACAGGATGAATCCTCTACATCTGGGCCGCACAAACGTCCTCTTCTCAAATCCGGTGACCCATCTGTCCCAAAGAACTATAGATCTCGCTGCTCCCAGTAGTGTCAAGGATCATGGAGGAGATCGTCCTCAAGCGGCTCTGCCAGTTTATCCACGCGGAACGTCTTCTTCCCGACAACCAGTTCGCCTTCCGTCCTCACCACGCGACAGAGGACGCTATCTCAGTGGCAGACACCAGGGAGTAGCCTTAGCCGACGGGAAAGTCTCTGATACGACCGGCTGTACGTGCGGTGTTCCACGGGGCAGTGTCTTGGGGCCTGTACCATTCTCCCTCTACACAAGGAACGTAGCGCAATGTGCGTCACCAGCGCTGGTTCTGATGTTTGCTGACGATATCATACTCTATACCAGCAGTTCTGACGTAGCTACCATCAACCGTGTCCTCTCAATCGCAGTGTCCGGAGTTGCAACATTTCTAGCAGACAAGGGGTTAATCCTCAACGCGCAGAAAACCCAGGTTCTGGGCATCTCCGCTGGAAGGCGGAACAGAATAGAGCTTGCAGTTGCATGTGGTGGCACTCCTCTGGCTCAAACCAGCCCAGCCAAATACCTCTGTATTTATCTGGATGAGCGCTTGAGCTGGGTAGGTCACGTGCCTGTAGTAGTAAAGAAGGTGTCCTACAAACTCCGAGTTTTGCGCCACATCAGAGCAGACATCAGCCACATCACCCGTGCTCCTTTACTACACAGCTCTTATCCTACCTGATCTACTCCACGCCTACTTCGCCAGCCTTTCAGCAAGCCTCAAACAGATCCTCATCAGACTGGATAAGCGCTGCACCCGCTGTGTCACAACCCAGCCCTCACGTACCCACACTATGCAGCTGTATGCCCAACTCAGCATCTGTCCGGCTGTCGAGCGGGCGGATTGTAAGTTGCGGCTTCTCATACGCCGTATTCTTCACGGCGAAGTCAGTTTGCTGCTTAAATCACGCCTGGAATACAGTTCGCTGTCCGTGCCACCAGAGGTCAGGATGTCTGCAATCTGCCCCTTTCCAACATCCGCAGTACTTCGGGATCTCACAGACCAGTTTTTGCTGTTGCTAAGTTGTGGAATCTTTTCCCCACTCTTTAAGGCCCTACCACATCCCGATTCAAGCGTCTATTGACTTTCATGCCTAATGCTAGGATGTTCCCTATCCCGAGAGATCTCTAGGCTCACTGTTTTCTTTACTCCACCTAACAAAACGGCAAGCAGTTAATATTAATTTGCTAACCGCAATCAATACGACAAGCTGAATCGCGCCGTATTCGGCCTGCCACCTCGCACAAGCGCCCAATCTCTGCTTGCGATTGCTCGTCTGCAGCTGTATGGCATCGTAGAGCTCCACAAGCAAAAGACCCTTGTTATGATCTGGCGTTGCTCGAATGGTCGGGCAAGCAATGCACTGCAAGCGCTTCTGGAGCGTCCCAGTACTCGCACAACGCGCGCGCAACGCAGCTTGGGCCTTCGAGTGCCAAAATCTGCCTCCAAAGCCAGACACGACCGTCCAACCGCCCGCGGGTTCATTTTATGGAACACCCTGCCATCCGACGTGCGTGGTATTTACCCAGTACCACTAGTTCAAACAAGCCTGCCTCCCGTTCTGTCTTGCTAGCAGTAGCACCCACCAGGCCACTACTGAACACTACAGGTACCTTGGAACGTTTGCACCGCCCGTTTGGTTCTGCGAATTTAAATAAAAACGTACCAACCTAATCGACATTTGTGTATACTTTATTCATGCAAATGTAACACGGCGGAGACAATGTGCAATAAAACGATGAAAATGGGATGAAAGCACAAACGATATAGGACATTCGTTCCGAGAGTAAAAATGCCCACTAGACTCGAGTCAAGGTGTTAACACTGCCTGAGTGGTGAGTCAAAGATCAGATGGAAATTGAAGAGCCTCTAACCAGCAAATAGGCACATACTATGCTATGAGTATGACGATGAGTTCTAGTTTAGAAACCCAACACGTAACAGTCGGAAGGTGTAATAACAATTACATGATGATGTACTAAAACACACGATACGACCAGTGACTCAGTGACTCAGTGAGACATGCACCACATTCATTCACCTGTTGGTGATTGTCTCTGATACTGATAGGCAGCGTGGCTGCACTGACAGTTCTAGATCCTCTCAATATTCGGCGGTATTCATTTATTTTGTGCGCACAGAGACTAGGCCAGTGGCAGTATAGGAAACGATCAATTATTTTGCTCAACACAGTGACTAAGACCATGCACACATGCAGAGACACGAGAGAAAAGATCGTTGCAACACAGCGGTTCGTGTTGTTACACTCGAAGAGATGATAGCTGTAGCGCTCCTTGAGTAGCAACAACCCTTCCTCCATCCTTTCTTTTTGCTGTGTGCAAAAAGCGCTGCCACATGTAGTCCGACGAAATCGCGAAATAGCACACTTTCATTCTTTTTTTAAAGTTGAGGGAAAGAAAACGGTGAAAAGTCCAAAGAAAAGCCTTACTGTCCCCATCAAGGCATCAGGATTCAAACCACGAACCGTCGAACAAGGCTAGCGACGCTGTAACCCCTGAGCTGCGGCATAGTGGCGGCCATCATGGTGCATGAAATTGAATACTTTTTGTAGTTCTATTTTTCTGCCGTGTAGATCTACACCAGTACAGTACATGTACATGATTGTACAATCTACATCACGCATTTTCCAATCTAAACTAAGTAAAAGTCAGCAAAGAACGTCCCTGGCCACACTACAGCTAGCTACAGAGCCGCCATAGTGCGCCAACCTATGCTACACTCATACACGGCTACATGGCGCCCGGCGCTGCTCTTGTTATTCGCAAATCAGTCGGGAACATTTACGGGCCATTTTGAAGTTGTGCTTCAACTAACTTGTTACTTTGTCTTTACAAGTACAACCACGTCTTCAGACCTCCCTGGCCTAGCCCTGCGCTGATGTGTGATGGTGGTAGACTACTTCAGTACTTGTACTACTGAGTGAGCTGAGTCCTGCCTACACAAAGCAAAATGACTGCAGCTATGGGATTATCCATTCATGTTGTTTTCGTGTGCCTGCTCTCCGCTTTCTTGGACGCAACATGCGCATCTTTTATGCCGAAGGACTGGAAACCCGTGTCGTACTTCACCCACGGCTGGGACTGTATTGCGTGCGAGAACAACTCTATGTTGGCCGGAAACTTCGGCCACACAGGCAGCCATGGATTCAATCTGAGCGACCCGTGGTGGGTGACGGAGGTGGCAACGCGCTATGCAGCTGTTAGCCTCAATGCGTGGTTGGGCTCCCAAAAGTACAATGGCACGGGCGAGATCGGAACGGTGAAGATTGCTCGCGCCCTCAGAGCCGCTAATCCCAAACTGAAAATTCTGTTCTACCAATCACCCGAACGCGGTGACTTAGCTCCGTACGGTGCGAATGTCATTCGAGCACACGAGGACTGGTGGTTGAAGAACG